CCCCCAAACCTCCCCCCCCCCCCCCCAAGTACCAATTATTTCGGAAAAATACTCTGTTTCACGTCAAATTTGATGTGGGGGGTCCCTTAAAGTAGCACAAGACAACCTTTTTTTTTTTTTTTTTTTTACTTTACCCCCCCCCCCAAAAAAACAGTTGTCCGGAAACCCGGACGACCCGGACCACGAACATCCGACGGAGACGTCCGGGGGAGACGACCGACCTCCAGACCATTGGTAACCTTGGGGTCTGGTCGTTTTGTATGGTTTTCACGAATCCTGTGTTTATTTCAGAAAGTCCTCGGGTTGACGACAAAACACAAGGATATGTTAAAGGCATCAGAGGTTGATGTCGAGATCGGGAAGAAGGAGCATGCGATTGCCATTGAGGAATGTCTTTTCCTTCTGCCCTTGGAGGTAGGGACATATCCACGATCCGTGAGTAGGGGTCAGACCATGTATAAAAAATACTTAGCAACGCGTCGTGCAGTAGAGGACAATGCTTAGAACTTTGTTTCTCACTACCCCACGTGTCGTTTGCTCGATGTTGTGCAGTGCTGGCGATAACACGTGGAACACGCGGGGAAAGACTCGCTGCAGCAACTACGTCTTGAAACTTGTGGGTTTTGAACAACATTAAACGACGTTCCCTCTCCTCTCTCCTCCCCAACCTCCCTTTCGGATTGTCAGTACCATCACGGAGGACTATGGCTGTCTTACGCATAATGAGTTTTTCAAATCTTTTGGCTACAATACTTTATGGATTTTTGCTCTTGCTGATTCTCCTTTTTGACGTTCCTTTTGCTATGTCACCTGTGTCGTCAACAATTCATCCTTCTCTCCTTCCTTCATTCTCTCTCCTTCCTTCATTCCTTCTTTAAGTCAGTCTTTCTTTCCTCCTTGCTTGTTTGCGTTTGTTCTTTCTTTCTTCCCTTTTTCTTACTGTCTCTCCGTCTACTTTTTTCCTTTTTTCTTTCTTTCTTTTTTGCTTTCTTTCTCTCTCTCTTTCTCCCTCTCTCTCTCTCTCCCTCTTCCGCTCTTTCTTTCTTTCTCTCCTCTCCCTCCTCCCTCTCCTCTTCTTTCTTTCCTTTCTTTCGTTTTCGGCGCTCACATCGTTGTTCGGAGAGTCGTGTGTTAATGCAATGATTGTCAGAGGATCTATGCTGACTCACCATGGATGATGAATGAATCTGTTCGGGGGATCTTGTATTTTTGTTGCAATCGTATATGCTTTGTGTCATGTGTGGAAGTTTTGAGTCGGCTAGCGTGTGGTAACCTTCCCCCAACCCTATGTCCGTGCTTCGCCACTTTCGCTTGATTTGCGGCCTTTGACCGTATTAGCCTTAGTTTCTCCCACCGCAAATGGACGCACGAGTGGTCCTACCCCGCCGCAGTGATATTTTGCCCCCCGCGGTGTTTACCCTGCGCCCAGTGTGTCGGCGGAATAAAGCCAGAGCAGTGCAGGTATGACGTGTCGTACTCGTACGAACCACATGTGGCACACACATGCAACACACACACACACACACACACACACACACACACACAAGTCCGACGAACGATTTGCATGTCAGTATCGCTGTAAGCCTCCACGAGAGTTTCCTCTGGCCTCGCCGTGCTCAGTAGTATGGATTTCGTACGTCTGGGCCTATGTCCTCCTCCGTGCAAGCACAAATTTGAACCGGTGACTTCGGCATGAAAAGCCAAGTCTCTTAATCACTACATCCAGGACAAAGTGTTCAAAAGTGGAATCGTACTGGTCGTGATATCCACCCCTCCCCTCCAAGACTGTAGTGTCCAACTCAACACACACCACACACAACACCCACGGACACAGCAATTCTTGTACACTTCGCTCTGTAGTCAGCACGTAACTCCCACTGGTACTCTTACCCGCTCACACATACGGGACTTATCAATGCCCGCGGCTCACGGGCGCTTCCACAGTAGTATGGATTCCGTACGTCTGGGCCTAAATCCTCCTCCGTGCAAGCACAGATTCGAATCGGCGACGCCGACCTCAAGAGCCAAGTCTCTTAACCACTACAGCCAGGACACGGTGTTCAAAAGTGGAATCGTACCAGTCGTGATATCCACCCCATCCCTGACAGGATTTTGATTGGTTGATTGATTGATTGATTGACTGATTGATTGGTTGTACACACACACACACACACACACACAACCACACACACACACAAACACACAAACACACAAACACACAAACACATAAACACACACACACACACACACACACACATACACAAGTCCGACGAACGATTTGCATGTCAGTATCGCTGTGAGCCTCCACCAGAGCTTCCTTTGGCCTCGCCGTGCTCAGCCATAGTTCACCATTTTTTTTTTAATTTTTTTTTTTTGTGACTGCGTGTGTGTGTGTATGAGACACACACACAGAGAGAGAGAGAGAGAGAGAGAGAGAGAGAGAGAGAGAGAGAGAGAGAGAGAGAGAGAGAGAGAGAGAGAGAGAGAGAGAGNGAGAGAGAGAGAGAGAGAGAGAGAGAGAGAGAGAGAGAGAGAGAGAGAGAGAGAGAGAGAGAGAGAGAGAGATGAGAGAGAATGTGAGTGTGTGTGTGTGTGTGTGTGTGTGTGTGTGTGTGTGTGTGTGTGTGTGTGTGTGTGTGTGTTTTGATTACTCCATGATAAACATGTCGAAGCAAGTACAAAAACCGTAAAGCCATAAAGCTCTGAAATAATTTATCGGCATACCCTCATTATCCTTATCAAGCAAGCACAAGACTTCTACAAGCCAACCACCCGTTTCGCAGGATCTTGTAGATATAGCATGGCCTAGACTGTGTAGCCGTATACATGCCATATGATGGACGAGAGAGACGTTTTCCTGAGGACATAATCAGATGAGGGGGGTATACATGATCTAACCTTACAGCCGTACGTCCGTCCGGATGATCGGGTGAAAATGCAATCGTTCGTCCAAGCATGGGTGTTCGATTATTTCCAAGACGTATATTATACGAGACCATTTCTGATACCGTAGTAAAGAGCGGGGTGGGTAATTACGAGGTCAGCTCAGAATCGAGGGGAACACATCAATCCATCATTTCAGAAAGATCCGTGATCTGTTCTAATGATTGCAAGTCGCATTCATATTCGTATATTTGTCTATCAGTATCATAGTCCGAATCGCAGAGACATAATAGATTCATATGTTCATAGGAAAGATTTTGAAGTTTCGAACAATGATTCGACTATGCATGTCTATTCTTTTCAATGGATATGGACAGAAAGACTGAATCCATGCATAACACAGAAAAAAACACAACAGTATTACTCGTAAACAATCAAGAAAGAAATAATTCGCGTAATTGAAAAAAACTCATTCACCCCAAAATCCAATTTTGTCTGCGCCATCCATCCTAATAACCGATCCGGGTATCAACCATGACGGTTGGTGTTCGCTCGGATAGATATTATGTGTGGAGGCGGTTCCGTAAGCATTTATTGAAAAAAACTCGACAATATGAGAAAGAGCCAAGGCACGAAGTGCATGCATCCGTATTCCATCCATCGTTGATCACACATATTGAAAAAACCGGAATTAGACAAAAAACACGAATACTGTACTTCAAAGAAAACTATCATCCAAACTGAAAACGACGTGATCTCTTCTCATAGCCAATCAAGCTGATACGTCACCCTCTCCACCCCCCTCCTTTAATAAACTCAAAACATAACTCGAAACTTTATGCGATCCAGAACAAACCCGCTGCATACCCAAAGGCGGTTCCACGTAGTATGGGAGAGCCGCCTTGACAGCAAAAGCAGGGAGGGCGGTGGCGATCCCTAAAGCGCTTTTTTGCCGTAAGCCACCAGTTCACGGCCTCATCAGAGGGAACACATGCTTCTTTTGAAAATCATACATTCTTTAAGAGTCGGAGTGGCGATGACGGCGGCAATGCTTGCAGGAGAAGCAAGAAAGCAAGGAACGAAAGAAAGGCTAACAAAGCAATAAAAGCAAGCAAAACATACGCCGAGACCTCGATAGCTATCCCCATCCTGTCATCCGCCGTGTCTCTGCTTAGTGCCATCGTACCGAGCTCTAACAGCCTACAAGCAGCCCAACGCAAAAGTACAAATGGAAAAAAAATCCACATCACCACATGCACAGATTCCGGGCGTGTTTATTGCGAGATCAGCGCGCGAATGGCGTTTGCGTGGCGCATGGTGCTCATCAGCTAATCTTGTGAATGCTTCGAGGGATGACGGCGTGGGTGCTTATACCATGTCCGTTTCGTCATCGATCATTCGATCCTGCAGCTCCTGGTCCACCTGGTAGTCCATGGCGAAGGTACTCGCAAGGTAGCAACGTTCCGTCGGCGACAAATACACCTCCACCTGAGCACTTGAGAGCTTGGAAATCCCGCCGCCGTTCGGCTCGTAGTTGGATACTTCGATCAAATGGAAGCTGAGAGCGCTGAGTAGCTGATGGAATTCCGAGGGTTGTCAACACGTTATTCGTTAAAATAGGACATTATACGGTGTCCTCTTTCTAACGAATTAATTTTTGGCTGCAGCCTAAGCAACGTAGGCATGCCCATCCAGGGGTTAACCACATGCAAAAGCGTCCTGAGATCCGTACTTATGAAACTTCATAAATGAAATCCCAAATGCGGAAGTGTGTTGGGATCCTTACTTGTTGAACTTCAAAACTATGTTGGTGATCGTGTGGGGAAGTGTGTTGGGATCCATACCAGTGAAACTTTATAAACGAACAACGATTGGCACGCCAAAGGGAACCCTGTGCGGAAGTGTGCCGTGATTCTTACTTGTCAAACTTCAATTTCAGAAATGTGATGAAAGATACAGTAACTATATTGTGACACTGTCCTCTTTCTTACGAATTCATTTTTGACTGTAGTGTTTGTACATGGGCATGCCCGCCCAGTCGCCCCAAATGCGAAAGTTTGCTGACATCCATAGCTGTTGAACTTTTGTAAACAAAATTAGCAATTTAATTATATTGAATTGGAGAGTATAATTCTTTCGGTTATCCCAAAGTTACACATGCAGGTTCATCGTCTTGCTGAAGATGATTGTTTAGATGTATGATGACATCCAGACTTGTACTTAGAAGACTTGTGACCCTGACAGATTGGAACAGGAGTGTGTCGAGATCCATACTTGTTAAACTCAAAGCTCTTCGTTTACGTATGTGATGAGCAAGGTGTCATGATTGAACCGTTGTTGGTTAACACATCAAATTTTCGTTTACTACGTTATCCCTAAGTCCGAATCTCTTCAACATCGAAACAATCGTCTCGGGTGAGACGACGGGTGTGCTTGCATAAGTCCGAATCTCTTTAACATCCAAACAATCGTCTCGGGTGAAACGATGGGTGTGTTTGCACAAATTCCGCATATAGGCACGCTCATCATCTCGCCTGGCATGAGGGCACTAAAATTCATACTTGTTTACAGTTGTGATGGGCAAGGTGTATTTCAATAACCACTAAATTTCGATATTCTATGTACAAGTGTAAAACTTTAAATTGTGCTCCATCACGATGAATATCCGCATTTTAAATGGTCACGCAAAGAAGGTTTGGGCATCCACTGACCAATTTCACATAAGATGAGATTTCTCATTCATCCACCAACTAGTTTCACAATCATGTTTACACTTCCAGTTGAACAGAATTCGAAACATGGAACACAATACTTCAACTTGAACAAAATTCGGAACATGGAACATTACGTGGCATAGATTACAAAGCCCATACATGACGCAGGACATGCATTGAGCTTGCCGTAGATAACGCGAACTCGGAACGATAAAAGAAAGCAATGCCTCTGGCAGAAGGATAGTTGAATAATGTCTCGATTTACGAAATTTAACGATCAACGAATGGAACACCTTAAAAAAAATTTTCGAAGTCTATTAAATTCATCAAAGACAACGATGTTCTAAGACACATGATGCTAATTGTCGTCCAAGAAGCGAAATATCTTTACAAAAAAACCGGAAAGGCGGTCGATCTCCATGTTGCAACAACGTCGCATACATCAACATGAACACACCACAGCTTGCTCCATCCACTTGTCTCGGAACTCCATCCACCACAACATTTCCCACTATGGACTTCCAATTCCTACCCGACCGCCTATGTGATGTTTGATGTTCTAAATACTGCACAAACCCGAAAACACTAAAGTAAAAACTAGAATCAGCTGCAATGCGAGGAAAAAAATCAAAAATTTCGAGAACATCATCTTTCATGTTGACGGAATTGAGGATCTAGTGATCATCATCTTTGTGGACAGGAACGAAGATAATATCGTAACGAAGCAAATCTACGTTTTTAGCCCACCTCTGCACCCCATTGTGTCCTTGAAGTCGCAGTTTACTGAAGAAGAACGGATTAACGTTGAAGACTTGAAGGCGAAGAGATGTCGCGTGATCCACATGCGGTCGACCCCAACAACGCCATATAGAAATTGACGACCTCATCATTCACCCTGCCGTTGACATACAAGAGGGTGAGGAGACCTTTTGCTGCAACCCGAAATTGACCATCGCCCAGTATACAGAGAATAGTGTTAGACGACACCGAGCCTCGTACAGTGTCGTCCAAAACCCTCAAGCTCAGAGGCGCAATCGTTGCAGCGAAACTTTTCCCGCGTGCTGCACTTGTTGTCTGCACTGCACAACATCGAGCAAAGGACACGTGGGATAGTGAGAAACGGAGTTCTAGGCATTGTCCCCCGGTGCATAACGCGTTACTAAGTACTTCTCATACATGGCCTGATCCCTACTCACAAATTGTGGATATGTCCCTTTCTCTGGGCAAGAAGGGAAAGACATTCCTCAATGGCAACGGTGTACTCCTTCTTCCCGATCTTGTCATCAACCCTTGATGCTTTTAACATATCCTTGTGTTTTGTACTCAACCCGGGGACTTTCTGCAATATGTGCTCTGGATATTTGGAGGACCTCCGTGTTCGAGACGACACCACCCTTGTACAACAGAAGAAAGACAAAACGGAAAATGAGAACCATACATTCGTAGAGACGCAACAGTCAAGAGGACCTCTCCGACCACAGGACCCTGATCTCGCGTGGTCATGTGCACCCAGGTGTGGTTGTGCAACTGAAAAACAAAACGACTGCAACATCCGAGCTTATCACCCCCGCACTTCGCAAAGGAAAACCACCACAACTCACAGAAACCAGAGGTCAGCAATCCCCGAAGTTCGGACTGCAGCGGACTTTTCAATACACCAGCCCCACTGAGACTGACCACATCCCGCATCGACAAAGGAAGTTCGGATCCCGGGGGACTAAAACCAGCACTATTTTCGAGAAGGGAAAACTGTCAGTCCATCTACTTGGCCACTTTCTGAGCACCTTGCCCTACAGTCAAGCAGGACCTCTTCGACCACAGGACCCTGATCTCGCGTGGTCATGTGCACCCGGGTGCAGTTGTGCGACTGGAAAACAAAACGACTGCAACATTCGAGCTTATCACTCTCGCACTTCGCAAAGGAAACACCACAACTCACAGAAGCCGGAGGCCAGCAATCCTTGAAGTTCGGACTGCGGCGGACTTTTCAACACACCAGCCCCACCGAGACTGACCACATCACGCATCGACAAAGGAAGTTAGGATCCAGGTGGACTAAAACCGGCACTATTCCCGAGAAGGAAAAACTGTCAGTCCATCTACTTGGCCACTTTCTTAGCACCTTGGCCACTTCCTCAGCCGGGGCAGATCCTTCCTTGGATGGAGTGTAAGGTTTTGGACGAAGTTTTCGCCGCCCTCAACTAGCAACCCGGCCGAGTCACAGATAGGCCGACGAGCTGGAGTAGGAAGGGCCGCTGGCCGTAGCATGCCGGTATCCGAAACTTCCCGTATGTACAGACAGTGTGGACAGTCGTCGTGTGTATAGCGCGAACTGTAATCCGGCGACATCCGGATGCGCAGGCGTTCTTCACGACTTACCAGTTGTTTCTCTCTCCGCTCCTTCGATGGTGAATTTGGCGCAGGCAAAGCGAGCACGTCGAGAGCTTGACCGCCGAACCTTGATTTTTTTGGGGACATCACATGCTTTCCTCCACCGAGCTCGCCTTCCCCTTCGGCGGCAAGGATGGCCGGCAACACTTGAGACTTTGGCGGCGACGAAGCGAGGGCAGCTTCCAAGGAAGATACGACGTTGGCAGTTGCGGACGAACGGGCAGAAACGTTGTGGTCGCCAAGGATACCGTCGATAACTTCGTCGATGCTTATACGTCGACTTTTTTCAAACAGGCCGATAGCGACGGAAGCCTCGTCGAACTGGTGCTGCAAGTCGACAGCAGACGTCAGTGGCCGGACCGCATAATCTTCAGGCTCTGCGGAAAGGCTGCTGACCACTTGTGTCTCCATCTCTATTGTCGTGGCATCGTCGTCGACATTATCCTCGTGATGCTCTCCGTACAGTTGTCCGAACTCGTCAGACGACTCTCCAGATCCGGCATCATCCTCACTGTGTTCCACTTCGTCTTCTCCAGACGCGGCACCCTCCATTCCTTCAAAGAAATCAATTAGCTCCGTTTCTCCCGCTTCCTCCCCTTCCACCTCTTCTTCCCCTTCTTCCTCCCCTTCTTGCGCTCCCTTCTGTTCCTCCATTTTCTCCCCTACTTCCCTCCCACGAAACTCGTCCCCTTCCGCGGTACCCATGCTGAATCTCGAGGACCGCCCTTCCGTCCCCGTGCACGCTGCCCCTCTCAACGGCACGACAATCCCCGGCCGACCAACCCTGCCCGAAGAAGTTCGGATCTCGGCGGACTTCGTGGTCTCCATGTCGCCGGACCCTGCACTTGCAGCCTCCCGCTACAATCCTTGCGGTCGTCGCTCCCGCTCAGGCGACACCTTTCTGACGTCTCCGTCCCGCGCCGCAATGCTGCGAATTTCTTTATCCTTGCTTGGATCCCCCGACCCCGAGCAACTTCGCATTTCGGACCGCTCTGGCGGCTCCACACCCGACGTAGTTCGGATCCCGGCGGACTTCGGCTTTCCGGCGAAGCGACTGCCCAGAGCAACCAAGGCTGCCAAAGTGTCCCTTGCTGAGCCCACGGACGAAGTCGCGGGGTCGGCGTAGTGTGTCGTACGCTCGGGCCGGGTGCCTGTCGACGGAGTTCGGTCGACGGCGAAACCCGCCACCCCAGCGCTGCCTCCCAGTGTCGTGTTGCGGCCGTGAGACCCTCTCTCCCCCATAGGCGGGATTCCTTTGCCACCCCCTGCATCGCCACCCCCATCCCCTTCGCTTCCAGATGACCCCCCCCCGGAACCACCGTCCGGCCCACTGGGAGGGGGCACGTTCCAATCCACCACGCCCTTCGACGGACTCGTGTCGAGCTCGTAGTAATCCTCCGTCAATTCCAACCACCACTTGTCCTGAAGCTCGTCGAACAGTCAACCGGCAGTGAAATGAGGGACAGGTCGCCGGGTGCTAAAGTGTTATTTTCGACCGTCACTTTCTGGAGGACCGAAATCCTCACGAGGTGCAGGAAGTTCGACTTCGACTCTCGTGGGAATGACACCCATCCCGCGCCCGGGATTGCCACTGCCATGACCCACTCCCCATTTTGTATCGCTGGTTCGATGACTTCCGGATGCCAAACCATGTCATGACCCAGTCCAGCTCAGGTGAATGACGTTGCGGTTCAAGCAGGAAGTGGATGTTGTCATCCTTCCAAGATGGATGATCGGGCGGGACGACGGACCCGGGACGCAAAGCGGGCGGGGGGGTGGCCAGAGCTCTAAGTCTCTTCAGCAACTTCATCGACGTGGTGCTCGGCGCCGGTTTGGCCAATGGTGACACGAGGGCTGCAGCGCTCGGTGATGGAACGGCCGACGAGGACCCTCGGCCGTGGTCCGCCGGAGGCGGGTCGTACTGCAGGTCGATGCTCTCCGTGTCGCTCTCCTCCTCCTTCACGTTGGAGACAAACTCCACACCTATGGCTTCCTCGTCGTCAGTGGAGATCAGGGAAGTGTAACTGGCTAACTTCAACTGCTCCTCGGATTCCACGAAGTACAGCGACTGGAGCCTTTCGATAAATGCCTTCGCGTTCATGCGTGAGGCGAAGTGGTAGTTGTCGAGCACTGCCAACATGTGGTCCTTCCGGAAGATGAACATGTGTCAGTGTCCCTCCTCGGACGCGTTTGAAGGAATAAGAAATCGTATATCTTGTTTGTCTTCCTCTCACTCAACTTGAACCACATATCCGTCTTGTTGCTGCACACCTTATCCCGTGTTGGCCTCACGACCATGAACTCACAATTGTGCCTACCCGAATTGACCTCGCTTTTCACCACCTGCATCGCGAATTGCAAGAGGTCGGGGTTCCCTTCCATTGCGACAACGTGCCGGCCGGCCTTCAGAAGCTCCCTGACGCTTTGCGCATGCGGTTTCCCAAGGAACACGACACCCTCTCCCTTCTTGCCAAGAAAATCAAGACGACCGACGAATTGTGTCGGATTGCGTTTCATATCCCCGTAGAAGCTGCCCTGTCGTTCAGGCGCCACCAGCGACCTGTCGCAAGGCGTGAAAGGAATCTCGGACACATCCGTCTGGGTGACCCTCTGAGGCAATCGCACCACAGCAGCGGCACCCCTGGGCAGGTTTCCCTCGTAGACCACGGACATGTTAACGTGCAGATCGTCACCCTTCAAGAGGATGTACATGCGGTCTTCCTCCGTGTACAACGAGGAAGCTTTTTTTTTGCTGCACTCTCCACACCTACTTCCCTTCCAACAGCTTGACGAAAGAAAGACGGTGCATGCTGGCAAGAAACGAAAGGTTGTGCTGTCGCGGCACGACAACAAGGAGAGTCCAACGCGAGGGACACCACGTCTGAAGATAGGAATTCAAAGTCTCCCACTCTTGGGGCTTCCACAGTTTGAGGTCAACCGGCTCGCACAGATCGAGGACGAACGTGTGGCTCTTTGTGGCAGTCACTTCTTCCTTCAGCTCTGCGCCCCTGATGTTCGCCTCTAAAGGGTCGTTGGCGAACGACGCGATGGATGTCACGTCCCCCGTGTCTTTCCATTTAATGTGAATGACGCCTTCGGCAAGTGCCACTTCCCGGCTCTTCAGTCTGCTTCCATTCAACACGGACAAAACCTTGTTTCTCCAGTTGACGGGCAACTTCTCGTGGCCCGCCAACTTCTCCGTCACCTCAATCGAGTTGTCCTGGTCGCAACCCATGTACGGCGGGCAGTCCTTGAACAGCGCCGAGTCGGAAACGTGTTTTCTGCTGTTATCCCACAACTTGTCATCCAATCCGTGACCTTCAAACTTCTTGAACACGGCAGACCTCGATTTCAGGAAAGGGTACCTTTGGATCCAGTCCGCTTTCGACCACAACCGGACCAGCACGCGGTCGCACTTCAGCAGCTGCACCATGTCCTGCACGCTGAGCTTTCCCAATTTTGCCAACGACGGGGAGTCAGCCTGGACCCAAACGACCTCGCAAGCAAGCACCTTTTTCAGAACGTGACACTTCTCATTGTCCGTGAGTGATTCCATTGTTTTCCAACAATGCGCGTCCGGGTCTGGCACTTGCACGAACCAATCGCCCTCCTCTTTCTCCTTTTTGCCCTTTTTATTCGGCGGGTCCATGGGGACGTTGTACACCACCTCCGTTCTGCCCAATTTATCGTTGTGGATGTAGGCGACCCCAAGCTTCACGTTTTTGACCTTCTTCTTTTTGACGATCCACTTCGCCCCGTCGTGGCTCAACAATCTGCCGGTCTCCCATTTCTCGAAAAATTTCACGGCCAGTTTGGAGACATTTTCCCCGGCCATCGGCAGAGGTAAGTAAGAACGCAGGGCAGCATTTTGCTTTTTAATGGCCTCCTCTTCCTTTTGATCCGTGAGAAGCCACAAGCTGTTTTGAGGCGCCTCATGGAGCGCCGTTGTACAAAACTTACGCCAATCCCGGACCTTATCTTGTTTCCCGCTAGGGTTCCCCATCACAGCTCTTGGGCAGCCGTCATGCTTCCACTGCCATCGAATGTCTTTCATAGAAAGTTTCAACTATCTGGGAGGTGCCTTGAGGTCCTTCTTGTTGTCCAGTGATCTAACAAGAAAATACCCTTCGAAGTCATCGTCAGAAAAGTACACCATCCGTGCCGGCCACCGCTCGAAATTGTACTTCTTGGCCACCTCGCTGCTGAGCAGTGACCTGGCTGCAGCCGCGTTGTGCTGCCCTCACACCGCGTAGTAGTAGTATTCTCCCGCCAGCTTGTCCTTCCACTCCGCCAGCTTCAGACATTGTGCCTTGGTCCCAGGAGTTGGTTTTTGAAGCCCCAGTGGTGCGAGCTTGAAGATCGGCAACTCGTACGTCTGTTCTTTATTTTCAAACGCAGACCGCATTGCTTCCCTTATCGTTTCCACGAGGACGGGATCTAACGACCGCTGGTTGTAAAGATCCTCCCACTCCCTTACGTCTACGATCTGAGCCGGGCTGATCTCAAACTCCCGCCTTGTCCTGCCGCTGTCTTTGTACTCCAGGAAGTACCCGGCATCCACGTCCATGGCAGGCCGTGGTGTAGAATGTCCCGACTCAGGCTGTTTATGTTTCGAAGCTGGACGTTTGCTACCCGGGTGACCCTCTTCCACCCCCCTCCCCTTCCGTTTCTCTCCCGCAGTCCTCGGGTCCTGGTCTTCCGTTTCTTCAAAGAGCCCACCAAGTCTTCTTGACATTCTCCCCTCCTTTTTTGGGGAGTGCCCTGCGCTTCCTCCCTGCCCACGGCCTCGCCTTCCTCGCCATGACCCTTGGCAGGCTCCAAGTCAGACCCACACAGGACTCCCTCTTCTGCGGGATCCGCTGCGGTCTGTTGCCGGACCCCAGGTATGGACAGCACGGACCTGTCTCTTTCCCTCAACGGCGAAAACGGCGGACGTGGTGTCGCCTCATCTTCGTTGTCGTCAAACTGACCTCTGGCATCATCCCGCTGCACATGTGTAGCCTCCTCGGAACCCGGATCCCCCCCGTCCCCCGCTGCCCCGCTCGACTCACAACTACCGCACGACTGCAAAGGCATTAACAATACCAAGTCGGGGCCGACTTCGCAAGGGACGTCAAGGGCGATGTCCTTGTCCTCCAACAAGTCAAAGAATTCTCGACCCAAAACAAACCCGCCCTGCCGCCGGAGGTCGTTGTAGAATGAGGTGTTCGCAGCACCCGCTTCGAACCCTTTCAACAGACACATGTCCAGAATCGCCCCTTGGCACAGGCAACGACGTTCCCCTTCGCACCATAGACATTTTTCATGTAGAACCCTCGACGACAGCCTTTCGCATTCTCCCACCGCGAGACAGCCCCCAGTACCCTACGCCGCTTGTTGGCTTCGACGAAGATCACAGGACCACACGGTTGTTGTACTGGGTTTGATGCATCCCCATAGCACCAGTCGACGAACCATTTCGACCTAGCGTGGTCGGACCACGTCCTCGAGGTCGTAGACGACCGTTTTGTAGAATCTTTCCCAGATCCCATCCCAGGAGGTCGTTGCAGGCTCCCCTTCGCCCCTGGACGAAGACATATTGTCTGCGAACGACAACAGAAAACAAATAAAACACCAGTGAGCGTCAAATCGCAGTCAAAGTAGAACGCAGGCGAAAAACATAGGCGGCACACCTTGCCCTCAACACGTCGGTCACATGACGCCATCCGAGGACCTCGAAGTTCGGATCCCGCCGAACTTCGAACGCGAAGACCAGCAATGACCTCTTACCTGCAACGAGATCATTCTTTACAAGGGCACACGCTTCATGCAACCGGGCGACAACCACGTCGGTATTTTCGGAACACGGATGTCGACCGGATCGGGAATGGACGGGAGGTGACGCACAAAGCTCGCGTTGGACGGGGCAGTGTCCTCCGTTTAGCACTCGGAACCCGGACAGTTCAGGACGCGAAGTTCGCTGAGATCCGTACTAATAGATGGGGCGCAAGAGAGAGAGAGAGACAGTCAGCCCACGCAGCCAGCGTTCCAGAACCGTGCTCGAACGAACACACTCCGCAACAGCATTTGATCGAAACCAGAAGTCGGAGACGGGTTGTCCACCTCGTCGGGCGGGTTGTGCGAACCACAGGACGTGCCTGTCCAAAGACAAACCAACGCACCCACCGAAACGTGAAGTTCGCCGGGATCCGAACTTCAGGTTGATGCGACAGGCAGAGACGACGTCAGAGACACACAGTCTGTGGACTAAACCACGACCCAGAAAGGCCGCACTAAGACAAAAGGCCGGTTGAGAAGGACAAGTTTGCCGAAATCCGAACTTCTTCTGATATGCGCAGCTTGGCATTGGATGAAGCCAAGTTCGAATGCAGCAGCCGCGACAACATTGTATGAGTCCCTGGAGGGGCAGTTGTGGATCAGGGTTCACTCGTGTCGCAATCCACGGGGGATCATAAAGACCAGCGCCTGTTCAATACACAGGCGTCACAGGAAGTTCGCCGGGATCCGAACTTCAGGAGGCTGCGAGAAAGACAGACAGAAAGTTGGGGTCCTAGCAAGGTGTCCTAGCAAGGTGTCAACGAGATTTCCAACAAGAGGGTCCGCCAACCGGGATCTCCAACGGGTTTCAGGAAACGCGAAGCTCGCACGACCTTGCGACGGGGATTTCTAAGAGTGTTTTTTGCATCTCGCAACGACAGTGACCGACTGTTTGGCACATGTTGATGGTGGACGGGCGAAAACCGATTACGACTATGTTCTGTTTCTGCGTTGTCGGGTCTTTCCCGCGGCCCGCCCGTCGCCAATGACACAAAGAAAATTAACGCAGAGGCCAGAACGCGAAGTTCGCCGAGATCCGAACTTCGTCGGGGCACGACATGGAAGGAGACGGCGTCAGAGACGGACGTCCAACATGACTTTCRTCAGTCACTGAACYGAACGACGACCASGGATTTGYACGACAAGYGCGCGGTGCAGCGTGTACCAGCAACCGCGRAGTCTCACACTTCTCTGCARTCCKACAAATCTGACATTTTAGGCAGCASAACYGCATCTCGTCCCTCGCCGTTCTTTTYCCTCAMACAGAAGGACTAAAGACCGGTTCGGATGCGGCGACATTTGGGGATCCCCCGGGACGACGTCGTGAACCGAAGCCATACAAAGCATTTAGTGACGATCCGTATACGCGGGTCTGCGGTTCGTCGACCGATGCACTCTTCGAAAAAACAGACATGTATTTCATCCTAACAAACACCCCCGGTCGTGCCAAGGAGTTTCCTATGCAGTCCCGTATGTCAGCCGCTTTCTCCTCAACCTCATGCCACAACGAATAGTTTCGAACCTGACCTGCTATCACCAAATCTGGCCACCCATCCACACGTTCAGACCCACGCATCGGCACAAATTTGGACCCTTCAATCACAACCTCGTTGTGCGACACGAGCACAACTGCATCGACGAGTTTCCTGCTCTTGTTCGAAGCAGCGACACACAGAACTCTGGCGAAATCAGATCCGGACACAGTCAACCGCACACAGCCGTACGACAGAGCTCGTGGAGAAATCCCGGGGCTACGTTCGTGGCGATGACCTGACGTTGGGTACTGGTCCAGGAATGAGCAGCGACGAGCGCACTCCACCAACTCTTGTTTCCGCGAGCCCCCCCAAGTTCTTGGCAACGACCTGACGTTGTGGCACTCAAGGCGACTGAAATAGCGGCTAATGCAGCTTAGTGCTTTGCGCATATGGTTCAGGAACTTATGTCCGAGGACGACGTCTGGCAGTGGGATGAGGTCCCCGAACTCCAACATATTCGCGAACTTGTACTGGTTTGCCCAAGGGTAGTGACTCTCCATATTGTCCCAATTGCCCTCGCCCCAGTCGTCAAGATGCGCATCCATGCATGGGACGATGGTCATCCATGGGTCCTCGTCGAAGTCCTCTGCGGTCGCTCTGTGGATTGTTGTCACACCGTTGAAATGCCGCACGGATTTTGCATAAGGACGAAAAGGTTCTGCTAAGCGAATGTGCGTCCCGGCACTCATGGCCTGTGGTGTCGAGAAGATCGACTCGAAGACCCGTGGTGTCGAGAAGGTCCCCTCCATCACGCAACCTGCACACCACGCGCACATGCTAGATGATACACACAGGCACGGAGACACTCGTAAACGCGTCATGTCTCGCAATGTGCGACCCATGGCATTAGACGGCGCGTATGCCCCAAGATCTGATTTCGGGTGGCCGGCTTCGTCGGTGTTCACATCTACCGGCCCGCAGGCCAGCCGCAATCACGCCCCACGACATGTTCGCCTGGATCCGAACTTGGCGAGACTGCGCGGGAAAGATGAAGTTGTCTCCCAAACTCGACGTCCCAAACTGCCACGAAGTTCGGATCTAGGCGGACTTCACTTTCGTACAAATAAAAAGTTGTGGCAATCCACTGGTCGCCAGAAAGTCCACAGTCAGAATCTGCACCACCCGAAAGGTGAAGTATGTCGGGGTTTGAACTTGACGGTTTTCCGACGAACCGTGCACGAGAAGTTCGGATCTCAGCGGACTTCACATTTTATAGAATCCGAAGTCCGCCGGGATCCGAAATTGAAGATTGTCTGAGAAACCATGCACGGCAGGTTCGGATCCATGGCCCAGCAGGAACATCTCCTGCCACATGCGTTGCGAAAGGAAGAGAGCTCAAATTCGTCGGGATCCGAACTTGGCGAAATCGCGCGGGAGATACACAGCAGGCGAACCCGACGATGGGACGAGGAACCTTTGCACGAGAAGTACGGATCCCGGCGGACTTCGCATTTTTGCGAAATAAAAGTTATGGCGAACACCCGTTCGTGAGAAAGGACACAGTCAGAACCCACACCATGCGCGACGCGAAGTTCGCCGGGGTCCGAACTTGCCACGCGAGGTCCAGTTCCACGGGAGGGTTTGGGTGTGGGTTTGGCGTGGGTTAAGTGCGGGAAATCGGGCACGCGAGGTCCGGATCCACGGGAGGGCAGAGGGGAACCTGGTGTTCGCCGGGATCCGAACTTGGCGAGACCGCGTGGGAGAGAAACAACCAGCGGACTTCACATTTTTTCAAATACAAAGTTGTGCTAACCCCCGGGCGCTAGAAACCCCTCGTTCTGAACCCGCACAATGAGACAAGCGAAGTCGCCGGGGTGCGAACTTGACGTTTGTGCGAGGAACCGTGCAGGAGAAGTCTGGATCCCGGCGGACTTCGCATTATCACAGATCCGATGTTCGCTGAGGTCCGGACTCGACAAGTGTGCAAGGAACAGTGCGAGCGAGGTTTGGATCTGCAGGCCATCAGGAACCTGAAGTTCGCCGGGATCCGAACTTGGTGAAATTATGTGGGAGATACACACCTGTCTGCCAAACTCGCCGTCCTGCAATTTCTTGAAGTTCGGATCCTTGCGGACTTCAAATTTTTCCACGTCCCAAACTGTGGTTGCGGACCGGGGTTGCTAAGCGTGTTCGAGCAGCTGCATGAAGTTCGCCGGGATCTGGACTTGGCGAAATTGCGTGGGAGACATACACCTGTCTGCCAAACTCACCGTCCAGCAATTTCTTGAAGTTCGGATCCCGACGGACTTCAAAGTTTTACACGTCCCAAGCTGTGGTTGCGGACCAGGGTTGCGAAGCATGTTCGAACAGCTGCATGAAGTTCGCCGGGATCCGAACTTGGCGAAATTGCGTGGGAGATACACACCTGTCTGCCAAACTCGCCGTCCAGCAATTTTTTGAAGTTCGGATCCCTGCGGACTTCATATTTTTCCACGTCCCTGGCAATGGTTGAGTACCGGGGTTGAGAAGCGTGTTCGAACAGCTGCATAAGCTCGCCGGGATCCCAACTTCTTCCGGTGTTTGATTGTGCGATCAGTTCGGTTGGTATGGCCAAGGTTGTGCTGGCAGATTGGAACGGCCACATTTCGATCACGAGAACAGTGTCGGTGACGCATGGGGTGGTGGGTGCTCAACGTTTGCCTTTCAGTGACCGTCAAGTGTCGACGACCCTACGTCCTCCAAAGTTTGACGCCCGACGAGGTTCGACGCCCGCCGAGGTTTGATGTGGAGCCAGGTTCCGTGGCCAGCATGGTTCGATGTTATACGAGGTTCGATGTGCAACAAGATTGTGACGAAGTGCTTTTTATTCGTTTGCAAATCGGGATCGACGTTTTTTCGATCGGTTGTGTGTTTCATTCGTCGGTTTTGATCGTGCACATGATCATTTGCCTTGAGGATTCTCCACGATCGTTCTCCACGATCAATGTTCACAGAACAGTCGATTGGTCATGAAATCTGCCAGGATCAACTGATTGATCAGCTGCTCGGTTGGGGGTTGGTGTGGTGGTTGATCAACTAGTAGAGCAATCGCCAACAGAGCGGTCGACCAATCAGTTGATCCTGGCAGATTTCCTGACCGATCGATTGTTCGGTCGAGGACTGTCAGGTGGATAAATAAACAGGTCGCTCGCCGGCGGGTTGATCTTCGGTGCAGCACACACGATCAATCATCCGATCGCAATAAATCTTCTGTCGTTTCGCGATTGGTCGGTTGGATGCGTTGTCGCCTCGTGCATTGGTTAATCATCCGTCGGACAGATCAGCGGCGATGTTGTTGGGGAAGCAAACAACATCTATCACCCGATCGCGAGTGGTCGGCTTGTGTTTCGTTCTGGGTCGGTTCATCACGTTGTGGTGATAATATTGTCATGGATCTGATCCACCATCCGATCACTAGTGATCTGAACACACACGACAGAAAGAACAACACACACGTGGTGGTAACGTCGACACGGCAGACACGATCAATCATCCGATCGCGAGTGATCTCATCGTGTTTCGCGATTGGTCGATGGATGCGTTCGCTGTGTCGATATTGCCACCGCGTGTTTCGATTGATCATCCATTGGGGCAGATTGGCGGACATGATATTGGGACAGCACACAAAATCAATCGGGTATCGCAAGTGCTCACGATGAGGTTGTGTTTCCTTGTTGGTCACCACGTGTTCGATCCGAGCTTCCGTGCTTCGCCACTTGAGTACAGCACGAGCACAATCGTTTTTTGATACTTTCCTCATACATCCACACACATGCGCCGTTCGTTCCCAATTGCAGCAAAAGCGGAATCGAAGTGCAAACCATGTCGTTCATCCCTGACTGCGCACGTTCGTGCGCATCTCCCCGCGAAAAATGTGCGCGAGCACACACGCACGCGAACAAATATGCACAGACACGCACACACACACACACACACACACGTGCCGACACACGGCGCCCACACACACACGCCCCTCAGGTACAGACGCGCGCACGATCCTGCCTCGCGCGTGTGGCACACAGTTCAATACAAACACAAACACAAAGGAACACGCACTCGAACACACACACACACCATGAAGCATGCACAAACACACAATTGCACACAAACACACACACACACACACACGCCCACCCGCACACATGCAGCCACAAAATCTTTCGATCTGCGCGGGCATATTGTCACAAAACACCTCCCCCGCACGTGCGCACATGCACACATACGTCCCGACTGCGTGCGCACTCACCGTGTGGAACTGCCGAGTCAAGATGAGCGCGAACCCCGACATTTGTTGTGACGACACTCTGTCCACCTTTGGGCGTGCACTTCGCGTTTGCCGGGGTGCTGCGTGGGGTGGCGGTCGCGCCTTCCGAGAAAGGAGATCGGGAGCGAAGTCGAATATGAAGTGGACAGCGACTTGGTAGGCGAAGGGACATGCGAGGGCATGTGGGGTGCGTCGGTGCCACGAAACGTGCGCGCTGAAGAATAGTTGTGCCAGCTATGGCGCGCCAGCCGGTGCGTGGCTTCCGTCGGGCAGCATCTCCCCAGCAAAAACGCAGAACGCATCGTCAATGCCCAGGGCGCCGCTTGTATTTGTAGGCGCACGGGACATGAGGGCCCCTCGCGCCTTCCGTTTCGGATTTCCTGTGCAGTGTCCGCGCGCCGACGCGCGACTGTTCGATCCGCGCATCAAACGGTGGCTGCACGTCGAAATTGTTGCGAGGGGGGCCTGGTGCGTCGAAATGTGACAAAAACGTCCCTACGGGCTAGCCCTTCCCGGACGTCATTGAAAAACGGACCCTTGTTCCGGGCCCCTCGCGTTCGTGTCTTCGGGTTCGAGGGCCGCCGGGGGTCTCAAGTGTCGCGGGGGGGCAGTTTGTACTTTCCAGGGGTGAGGGGGGAGCACCGCGGGACGGGGGAGGGGGGAGGGGGGCGGGGGGAAAGGGGAGGTTGGAGGGGTTCGCGGCCATTCGCGTCTGCTGGCTGGCGAGTGGGGTCTGTGGCCGTGCGGGGGGACACAGGCGGGTCTTTCCATGGGGTGAGACGACAGTCTGAGGCTCAACTGCCTCGGGTCTGGTGCAGCCCTTTCGCATCTCGAGCCTGACAAGCGCATTCGCGCGTGATGTCCCGTCAGCGACATCCTCTATTGCCTTTTCTGCTCCGCTGTTGCGCCAGGCGGCGGCGGGCGTGGGTGCAGGGGTTTCCTCTCGTCGACAACTATCATCTGTGCCTCGGTTGTCTGCGCTTCGACATCTTGTCTTTGCATCCTGCGTTAGCAAGTGGCCACCGCCGTCTGCGTTGAGCCCTTGTCGAACAGTTGCGCCATTGTGTGCGCTTCGCCGTTGTCGAAGAACTGCGCCTCGTCGAAGAACTGTGACCCGTCAAAGAGCTGCGCCATCGTGTGCGCTGTGCCCTCTTCAAGGTAAAGTGTTGTTTTGCCTGCCCACGTGTCGGGCGTCAGGCATGTTTGCCGGCCCATGGGAGCGGCCTCGTCGCGCCACCTGTTTCAAGTTGCGGGGACGGAGGGAAAGGATGTCGGTGACATTGGGCCACATGGTTTCTGTGTCCCTTTCTGATTCCCGCTCGTTCTTTTCTCACGAGCGGCCCCATGATTCTTGCTTGCCATTATCATCATCATCATCGACTCCATCATCACCATCATCGTCGCCACCATTATCATCATCATCATCATCATCATCATCATCATCATCATCACCATCATTGTCATCGTGATCATCATCATCTTCATCAACATCATCATCATCATCAACAACATCATCATCAACATCGTCAACATCATGAACATCGTCATCATCATCAACATCATCATCAACATCATCAACGTCATCAACAACATCATCATCATCAGCGACATCATCGCCGTCATCAAAATCATCACCATCGTCATCTTCGTTGTCATCGTCATCATCAACATCGTCATCATCGTCGTCATCATCGTCATTATCATCATCGTCATCATCACCATCATCATCATCTCCAACATAATCATCAACATCATCATCGTCATCAGCATCGTCATCATCATCAGCGACATCGTCGTCCAGATCAACATCACCACCGTCATCGTCACCATCATCGTGATCATCACCGTCGCCGTCATTATCATCATGTCGTGCCACGCGTCGCAAGTGCCTGGGACGGCGGAAACGGATGACGTGGACATTGGGGCACACGGTTTCCGTGTCCCGTTCTGCTTCTCTCTCATTCGTTCCACGTGACCGCCCCCACGATTCTTGTTTGGCTTGGCATTTAAGAAAAAGGGTCGTTGATCACAAGTTGAACATTGCAAACCATCAGAAGGTGGGATAGGTCATCAAGCTCAAGGTGGGAGAGTGGTAGTGAAACAAAACCAAGGACCCTAACAGATAGACCATGAGAGCAGGTAATGCTCGACAAAAGGATGACGCTATGCAAAGTCGACCATAAAAAAGAGGGAGCCTTAGCCTGGAATAGGGTGGAGATATGCCTAACTGAAGGCATGCAAGGGCCGACACTAGGGTGATGAGGCCAGTGGGTGAGGGAAACATGCACACAACTCACCGACTGGGGAAGGAGGGAGCTAGATCTCGAAGCAAGGAAGCCAAGATAACGCTACGGTCCCAATGCCTATGCGATACAAAGGGAGAACCCAACTCAGGGAGACCCAGCTAAGTGAAACCCATCATGCGACAGATGCAAGGGGATATACGGGGTAGGGTGGTAGCGTGAAGTAGTCACGTCCAAAGTAGCTGAAGTTGATAAGATGGCTGAAGTCAAGAAGGTGACTGAAGTCGTCGAAGTGGTCGATGACGTCGATGAAGTAGGAGTCGAGGTCGATGTCGAAGTAGAGCCGCAAAATGCTGACATCCTAAAAAAAAGTTGATGATGATGTACCTGATGGTGTGAGTCAGTGGGGAAAAATGGAGGATAAGAGCGTCAGTCATCGTAACGCGAAGGGCGACGATGAGTGCGCTGTGCACGCTCGGAGGCGACCGTCTGTGGTTGAGGAACAGCCTCAGAGGGAGCGAACTTGTCCTCAAGAATTTCCTCTGTCGGAGGAGGAGAAAGAGGGTCAGTTGGCTGAGCAGGGGAAGACATCTTAGCACGACGAGCACGATCATATGCACGCACCAATATCCTGGCGTGCTGCAAGTGCCCGAGGGGCTCCCAAGTAGGCTCCTCATCAGGATAACCCTTCCAGTGCACAAGGTACTCGATGTGTGGAGGGATATCGTCGGTCACTCTATGAGATACGACGTCGGAAACGATGAATTCCTCGTGACGGTCCACCATGATAGGTGGAGAATGCTCATACGGGCGTCCAGCTAAGCGCTTAGACGGTCTGCGATAAGAACGCAACAAGGAGACGTGGTAAACATCGTGTACGCGAGTCTGTCGAAGGTAATCAGGTCGCTTCATACGAAAGTTGACCGGACTAGCGGCAGTATCAGAACCGACGGCGTGAAGGATGCGGCATGGACCGAAGAAACGACGCCTGAACTTGCGAAGCGTATCCGATTCGAGTTGTAAGTGGCGTGCGTCGACGAGCAAATCGTCACCAACTTGGAATGGATGATCCATTCGTGATCGGTTCGCTCGTGTGACCATGAGTCTCGGAGTCCGCATAATGGCCGCCATGTGGGCGATCCAAATGAAGCGCAGGACAACGAGTGTCTGGGCGCAACCGCGATGGTCGTAGGAAGTCCACGGGGACGCGAGGGTGGTAGCCAAGGTCGCAATAGAATGACAACATCCCCGTGGCTGGCGAAATAACGTGGTTGTACACAATCTCCGCATGGTTTAAGTGTAAGTCGCTATGCTGGTCATCCTTAATGAACTTTCGGAGGATATTACCGAGAGTTTTATTGGTGACCTCAGTTTGACCATCCATCTGAGGGTGGTAAGACGATGAGAAGCGGAGCTGAGGTCCGTGCACCTCGTGTAGGCATCGCCAGAATGTGCTAGTAAAGCGTGGGTCACGATCGGAGATGATACTCTGAGGTAAGTCGTGATCTCTCACGACTTGGTCGAAGACGATGTCAGCGACCTCACGAGCTCTAATGCGATAGCGGCACGAGACAAAACGTGCGCACTTCGTGAAGCGATCGACGACGATCAAGATGACATCATCATGACCGCGCTCAGTGGGTGGGCGGAGGGGATCAATGAAATCCATTGAGATGGACTGCCAACGACCCTCGGGGATGGGTAAGGGCTGAAGTAACCCATACAGGAGGTGGTTCGCACTGTTCACCTCCTGGCAGGTGGGACACTCCTGGATGTAGGCTTTGACGAAGTCCTTAGACTTCGGCCAGACGTATAGGCGGCAAACACGAGCCAACGTCTTGTGGAAGCCCATATGGCTGGCAGTTGCCTGGTCATGGAAATCTGCTACAGCCTGGACGCGGAGCTGTCCGGTGGAGGGAACGAAGATGCGTGGTTCTTGATGACCAGATCTGCCATGCCAGTACACTAGACCGTTCTCACCGAGGGAGTATGAGGGAACAGTCTTGCCACTCCGCAGTGTCGCGTGGATGACGCGACAATCCAGGCAGTGACGGTACTGGGTGCGATATGCGTCGATCACCGACTGATCAACAATGATGACGGAGATGGCAGCAAGATGGATGGGTTCCTGATTGTGGTCAGGACGGCAGGACAAGGCATTGGCGACACGATTCGTCTCACCCTTGATGGGTTGAGTGGTGAAACTGAACTCAGATAAGTCACGCCACAAACGTGCCTGTCGAGGGAAGAGCTTGGGCTTCTTGAGGAAAGCTTAGACAGCTAAGTTGTTCGTGCGCACCATGAAGGTAATGACGTCAATGCTAAGTAGCATAAACTACTGCGAGAACCTCACGTTCATCGGCAGTGTAGTTTATCTCGGCAAACAGTAGTTGACGGGAGGAGAAGTCGATCGGGCAATCCCCAGCACGAGCCTCGACAGTCCTATCCACCGCAATGGTCGGGGAATAAGTAACGGGAGGACTGTTTGTGGAGGGAAGTGGTGGGAGGGTAGGCGTCAGTCGAGAAGTAGTGTAAGCAGGACGGGGGAGAAAATGAGGAACATGGGGATTAGATGAATCCGGAGGAGCGGAAAACACCTGAGAGAGGACTCCTCCTACTGCAAAATCTGTCGCATTGGTGGTGACGATAAAGGGACGATCAAAATCGGGGAGGCGAAGAACCGGCGCACAAGTCACCGCCTTCTTGAGGGCGCGAAAGACGTCCTTGCACAGGGGTGTCCAAAACCACGACGGGTTCTTCCAGAGGAGGGTGGAGGTAAGGACGTAGGAATACCTGGCGTATCCCTGGATAAAATTACTATAGTATTTGGTGAGGCCTAAGAAACTGCGAAGCTGCTTAGCAGAGGCGGGGACGGGCCACTCTGCAATAACAGTGATCTTCGCGTCGTCCATATGGAGACCTTGGTCAGACACATGGTGTCCTAGGAAATCCACTTTGCGCTGGGCAAAGCGGCACTTATTGAGCTTGGCATAAAAATCATGCTTGCGTAAACGTTGTAGGACATCACGGAGGTGTCGGATATGGTCTTCTAAGGTACGACTGTAGACCAAGATGTCCTCCAGGTATACGAGAATGTATTCTTCAAGGATGTCCCTGAAGATGTCGTTCATCGCCATCTGGATGGTGGCGGGTACGTTGGTGAGGCCGAATGGCATCACCGTGAACTCATAGTGGCCGAAGCACGATCGGAAGGCGGTCTTTGGCTGATCCTCCGCGGCTACGCGGATCTGGTGGTAACCGCTACGAAGATCGATCTTCGTGAAGAAGCGGTTCCCTGCCAGATGGTTAAATGGCTCATTTACGCGAGGCACGGGACAGTTGTTCTTAACCGTGTAACGGTTAAGGCTGCGGTAGTCGATGTAGAGGTGGAGAGTTCTGTCTGCTTTGCGAGCAAAGAGGACAGGTGCATCCTAAGGGGAGTTACTTGGTTTAATGAAACCCAGTTGAAGGAGCTCCTCAAGCTGATGCTTGAGTTCCGTCGCCTCTGGAATCGAGAGTCGGTACGGTGCCTGATGATGAACACTATAGTCAGGCACGAGCTGGATAGAATGTTCAACACCGCGCATCGGGGGAATCTCGTTGTATGCGAAATACGGGGAGAAGACATCGCGGTACTCTCGAATCAGGTCGCGAACGGCGGGCTCTAAGTCTGTCGTGAACCGTGTGAGTTCCTTAGCGTCTGAATCGACACGAGACGTATGTGTGGACGCGACAGTCGACGACGCAGGGGCCTGAGATGTGGAGGCGGTATTCGCAGGTTGACGGGTGGACGTAGAGATGGGAACCGCAAAGATGGAGGAAGGGTCAAGGGGATCGGACTCCAGAGAGATGAGCTCAACCTCAAGACAAAGTGGATCATAGCGATGAAGGTCCATGACGTTTACTGAGTACAACGTGACGTCCTCCTGTTGTATGAAGTGAGCAAACTGACGAGGGGAAGTGAAGGCGATGTCGGGGTGGGACCCTGAGGGACAGGGATCCTGGGAGGTAGGTCGGGAGGAGTGTTGCCCGTGGTTCCAATGAAGGGGACATGATGGGTCTGACCACACTTTGTTTTGAGAACGAGTTTCTCGGTCGCCCATTCGGCCTCTGTGCTACGGAACCGGCGAGACCAGGGAGTGCCAAGGATAAAGTCGTACCTAGTCTCCAGCACGTCGAAGTATGCGGAGGAATGCTAGCGTCGAGGGGCCTGGGTATTATCCGGTGGCTGGAGGGTGAGGGAAAAGTGGAAATCGGGGACCGTCTGATAGAAGAAGCGTTGTGTCTTGTTATCTCCGAGGGTAACGGAGATAGGAGAGCGTGACCCAGAGGTAGCTAGGCGAGCTTCCTCAACCACTCGAGGGTAAACGAAATCTCCCTGCGAGCCAGAATCTGATAAAGCGCGGTATACCCTCGTAGATGTCCCTAGGCGAATAGGGATAATGAGTAGGGTGCGATCAGGGTCAGAAAGCATAGCGAGAATACGACACAGGATATTGACGTGTCTCGTGAGTCGCTCCTGACGGGCCTGAAGAATGCTCAAGTCCAGGAGAGATGACACAACGTCATCATGAGTCTCTAGCTGAGCGATACAACGGGTTAAGCGAATGTTGCTGTCGGCTCAAATACCCTTAGAAGGGTATCCGCCCTGGGTTTTGCATGCGACAGAAAATGGTTTTGGTTTAAGGTTAAGTATACCGCGCTAGGCGCGACTGTGTCTGTGGCTGCGCTGACTGGATGGTTGACTAGAAGTAGAGAAAGTATGGGCGCGGGAATTCAACACGCACGTGATTTTTTCCCCCTGTTGATAATTGTAAAGCCGGCACAGGCGCCGGCCGCCTCGCTTACTATTATTATTTATTTATATTTGATTAAACTTGGATTATAAAGACTGTTCCCTTCTGATTGATATACCTGATCGGGATGCACGCACGCTCATACGGAAGACGACTTTGACAACGGCGTGACTTCCATGCGGTAAACATACTATGCGAGAGGATAGAATGTGCGTCAGACCCCCACGCGGTAGGTGCGGGAGCTTGGTGGGCGTGGGGTGTTGAAGGTAAGGTGCAACTCTTGGAGGCCTAGGGGTGTGCGGTGACAAGGGGTTGGCGATGCGATGCCCCCGACTTCATTTTAATCATCTGTTTTGTTTCATTTTTTTTTATTTTTATTTTTTCTAAGTTTACTGATCGCTTCCGAGACCAGCGGTGAAATCGACAGGTCCCCTTCAATTGGTTCGCGTTGAACTGCTGGGAAACGGACCCGAGTTCGGAATGCTGACGGATTTTCTCTACCCCGCCGGTCTTGAGATAAACGGATCAAGGGGGTTTGACGTACGTACAAACCGGTGAGTGATTAGCCCACGGGGCGGAAGAGACATGGCTGGTGGGGGCGCTCTGCAGGCGTACCGCCCGCCGCCCGCGGTTTGCTGTGAGAGGTTTAAGTGTGAGCATGCGCCGTTGAGGCCTGAAGGACAGGGGACCGGTAGGAGGCCGCCGCAGCGTTGGCAGTGCGGCAAGCTGTCCTGATAGCAGGTGACTTGGAACCCCACCCGCTCAGGTCTTCAAAATTCTCATTTGAATATTTGCTACTACCACCAAGATCTGCGTAGGGAACGGCCTCGCAATGGCTCAAGCGGTGGGCCTCGTCGGCGGCCTGGGGGTCTGATCGTTGGGAGCCCGAGGGGGCAATGGGCTCTAGGCAGTCTAAGGGAGGCCGTGGCGATAGCCTACTGAGTAGCGGCCAATGGGGGATAGCAGCAGCAGCGCGCAGAGCTGGGCCGTGAAGCGTAGCGGGGTAAAAAGGGTAGCGCAACGGAACTGCGAAGACCGGTAGTGGAACAGAGTGCTGCTGAGCGACGGGTATCGTGGGCAGGAAGCGGAATGCTGCAGCAGGGGGCGTCGGGTGCTAGCGAACAAGGGAAGTAGATAGCGCAGCGGGGTGACGGGTGCTGTGAGAGCAAAGCGTCGGGGCGATGGAATGAAGGCACACAGTGGGGAAGAAACGGTGGTGGCAGAGGGAATGAACTGGGACGGGGGGTTGGTGTTAGGTACATACGGGAGGTTGAAGTAGGCAACAGCGAGAAGCCAAGCGGAGAAAGTGACGGGCGCTAAGGTTGAGAAACGAGGCAGCATGTCGGGCTGTTGTGGGACCGAGTGTTGTGGCAGCAGCTAGCGCAGGAGTATGGTGGCAACGGGCAGCAAAAGTAAAAGAGGGGAAGAAACGAACCTGACACAGTTCCCCGCTAGGTACATGCAACATAGGAGATGGCAGAATGCTGAGTGGGCGCGGTCTAAACATCATGGCTCTCTCTTTCCTTAACAAATTTGATAGAGGAAAGAGGCATTCCCGGGGTTTGGACCCCGGGCGAATCAGATAGAAGTGTTAGATTTACCAATTGGTTAGTAGTCTAGGAGATTACTGAGAAAGCATAGGTGCGAGGAGCTATGGCAGAGCAAGCGGGAGGAGAAAGGAAAAAGGATATCTCCCTCGATCCTTGACCAAATCGAGGGAGGGAAGAGCTAACTTGGCGGTTTTGAGGGCGGGCGATGTCATATCTGCTGTTAGTTTCAGTGTTAGATTAGTGATAGAAGGGGTTGGTAAGAAAGTTGGTGTGCGAAGAGTGTCAAAGAAGAAGAATAGCGGGAGTAAGGAGTTGTATTTCGCCTGTTTCTCAACGAAAACAGGCGGGGGGAGATCTGAAATGGAGGTTTCGGGGCAGGGCGAGTCCAACCGTGAAGTTAGTTTTGAAAGAGAGTAAGTAGATTAGAAGTTAGTAGAAAAAATTGTTGCGCGTAGGGAGGGAGGATGAAAGTGGGATGAATCTACACCATTCCGAGCGAAA